CCGTTGGACTGGACCGACGCGACCGCAATGGGCCAATTAGTGGGGTCCGGTCCAAACGGCACCTGAAACGGACCAAGGGTTAGTGAAATATTCAACTTTGACCGATTGGGACCGGACCGACACGGCCGCATAACTTGGCCAGAAAAGGAACAGCCCTAAGAAGTCATATAGATGAACAGCCAGGCCCAAGTAATTAAGATAGGGTCATGTGCTATTTTTAGCACGGGACTGACTGTTCGTCTCCCAAAGTTGGGCCTGCACCAGTCCCGTTCTAAAATTAGCACAGTCCCACGCTATTTTTCACGTGGGACTGACTGTTCGTCTACCGGGGACTGGGCATGCGCCAGTCCCGTTCTAAAATTAACACAGCCCCACGCTATTTTTAGCGTGGGACTGACTGTTCGTCTACCGGGGACTGGGCCAGCGCCAGTCCCGTTCTAAAATTAGCACAGCCCCACGCTATTTTTAGCGTGGGACTCACTGTTCGTTTGCCGGGATTGACTGTTCATATCCCAAGGTCGGGACTGCTGCTATTTTTAGCACGGGCCCGGTCTAGAGTTTGACCACAGCACCGACCTTGGGACTGCAGCACTCAGCCTCGATCACTTGGCCTCTCCATTATAAAAGAGCGGCCACGCCACCCAAGGGAACACAGAGAGAGCAGCATACGTGGCACACGTGGCACAGATCAGGCAGTGTGAGAGAACCCTCACTTGCTGGAGCACTGCAGCCTTGGCAGAATGGCAAGGGGCGGAAGGCACGAGCCAAAGGACAGCGACTTGCCAGCAGGAGCATGAGAGGAGCATGGAGCAGGAGGCAAGAGAGTCGAGCAGAAGGCAAGCCAGGGAAGGGATAAGGAAAGGGAGGGGGCAAGACCTGTCTCTTATACACATCTAGATGTGTATAAGAGACAGGCCAAAGCGTCTTGTGCGAGGTGGTCTGCAGATGCCTGAGGTCGAAGTGGGCTGAAGGTAGATAGAGTGTCCATAGCCAGTAGAGGTTAGGCGGCCATAG